AGGTTAATTGGTGATTCTAAATTGTCCGTAGGTGTGAATGTGAGTGTGCTTGGTTGTCTGTCTCTAAGTGTAGCCCTGTGATAGACTGGTGACCTGTGTTGAAGAAATTTTCCACTCCAAAACTCATGTGAAGTTTGCTGTAGATGTTTGTTTAATAGTATGCGGCATACGGTGGGTTCACCAGCACAGAGCATGAGTCTGCAAAGGTAACCGACCCAGAACATTTGCAGTGTCACACATTTATAGGGTAAGTCAGAGGGTAGGGGGGGCCTGTATGTAAATACAGAAGTGAATAGAGGTGAATTAACATACAGTTGCTAGTCAAATGACAGGAGGTAAGGGGACATGAACAACAGGGGGTGGAATCGGGGTCTGTGACAGGAGGTGTCGGGGGTCTGAGACAGGAGGTAGCAAAAACATATGACAAAAGTTAAACAAAGGTGATGATCAGATCAAAGGTCTTGTGACCGGCAGAAGAAACGAGAATGGCTTTGTTCATCAATATCAAAGTAAAAGGATGTTTTTCTTCATCACCTGTCCACGGTGTCCCCTGCTTTCACCCTAAGTCAGCTGGGATATACTCCAGCCCCTCCACGACCCTGGTGAGGACTGAGTGGTGTATAGAGGATGCATGGATGGATGGATGGACTTCAAGATGATTTCTAGTATTGTTGAAATAGATAGCCACCTAACTCTGAACTTACTGTCTTCCACTGTCTGTGCAAAATCAAAAATATTCAGAAAAATAAAGTGCTCCTTGGTCTGTTGTTCCTTAGATTCAGTTTTGTACTTCAAAGAACTAAGGAGATGGCCTGCTGCTGGGTTGCACAAGCAGCACTAGCTTTATTTACACTTGGCCCATAGTCATCTTAGTCATCAGACGTCTTCTGTATCTGTGAGCAGGAATAAAGGGAGAGTAAAGTTGTTTTTTTTTCTTTCACAATGACAGCATTTTGCGCGACCGTGACACTTGACAGCATTTACTGTTTTATGAGAAAATAACCAGATGGCAAGCCAGAACATCACCAAAATGTAATTATTTGTGCCATTTTCAACATTTCCTGAAAATTTCATGAAAATCTGTTCACAACGTTTTGAGTTATCTTGCTAACAAACAAACAAACAAACAAACAAACAGATTAATGCCGGCTAAAACATAATCTCCTTGGCGGAGGTAAACACAACCTAACTGTTGTGAAAACGTCCTGCAAACTGTGTATAGTTTAGAATGGCTCTGCTACTTCCACATAGATCAACCTACCCTCAAAAGATTCGCTCTGATTGGATTTCTTCCCAACTTGTCCCACAGAAAGAGTTGTTCTGATTGGATCTCTTCTCCATTCGTCCCGCCGTCACATTTTCGTCATGTTTTAATTTGTTGACTAAAGTGTCAGTTTTATTTCGTCACAGTCTTTGTCTTCATGCCTGACTTTTTATTAAGGTTTTATTACATTTTCATCCGTGACAAAGGTTTGTTGACAAATATTTTTCATCATAGTCTTCGTCAACGAAATTAACACTGCTATCAATGGAGTCCAAATGCAGCTGGAAGTCTGAAGTTCTCCAGAAATCCTGTGCTATGTCCATCCACTGTGCTCTCTACACCTCTAGAATAATGACATTAACATGGTGCATAAAGTAATCTGTATCCAGTGGCTATATTCTTATGTTTTTCTGTGTTTGATATGAGGGACAATGCAACCGTCCACATGGCATACCATCATGCAGCTATTGTAGTATGAGTAGAACCACGTGGGCATCCACTATCGCAAACAGTCTGTGCACATGGATGTTGCAAGCATGAATTAGCCCAGAGCTGGTTGCCAGGCAAAGGCATCTGGGTATGCCGACTCCTGGCAGTGTGGACTAGTCCTAAGGATGTGGAATGTCGCCTCCCTGGTGGGAACAGAACCAGAGCTGGTGCAGGAGATATAGTTGGGCTCATCCCTGTGCATAGCTTGGATGCTGGACCCAAACTCTAGGAGAGGATCTGGACTCTCCTTTTGACAGTTGGATAGGATGACAGGTGCTGGAGAAAAGGTGAGAAAGCTCACTGGTTTCTGTATGAGTAGTTTTGTGTTGGAGCTTCTGTTGTTTGTGCTAACTGCACACAAAGCTGCACTGAACAACAGCTCAGCACATCTGTCCTTTTTGAGTCTCTGGGTGGTGACCTTGAAGGGCTTCATACTTCAGTGACCATGTGTGCAATGATGGAGAAACCTGGAGGTTTCCTGGAGTGGTGTATTGTTGTTGGAATTCTGTGCAAGGCATGGACTGGGTATAACAAACACTATATTCAAACATACGGATGGTTCATAAATCTACTTGGCACCAGAACTGTGTCAAGCTGAAGAAGAAGGCCTTTTAGCCTCAACTCTACTGAAGCAGCAGGTTCCAGGAGGCCAGAAGGGCTTTGGCCATTGCGGAAGCAAAAACTCAAGTTTGGCCTCAAGAAAGTTGACGAACCATTCGACATCTCAGGAAGGGAGAGCAGTGTTTGGTTTAGGCTGTGTTCAGCCAACTGCTGACAAGAACTGGTGTCCCTGACAACCTCCTCACACACGGTCCTCAAGGTATCCAATTTAAATTCCTCCACCATCCCATTTGAAATGGTCTCTTTAGGCAGCAATGCTCCTGTCATGTTTGTAACTCTCCCAGGAAATAAAATTACATAAAAATGTCAAGCATCATCTGCAATGAATCTCTGAAATTGATGACCCTTTGACTTGAGTTTCATTTTGGAAAAGTGGTAGGGAGGTCAATCGACAGAGTAGGGTGGGTGGAGAGCAACAATTGCGTAGTTTCCAATAAAACCTGTGCACAATTGCCGTGCTCATCACAGCTAGTCAGGGAACCCAGCATGCAAACAAGACACAGACCAAACTAGTGACCTTAACCAAGTTTATTTACAAAAATATGAGAACAGAATACTAATAATACTAATAAAACTAAAGAAACAAATGAAACAATCTTAAGGGTTGCTGGGTGATGGATTACCACAGAGGCTGCCATTCCTTTAGAACTAAAATCAAAACAGAAGTAGCCTACAGAGACACAATCAGAGACCAAACGTATGAACAACCAGCAGCAGCCCAATGGTCCCCCACCAAAGGATTCACTTTTCACAAGCCAGTGCCACAGTATCCCCAGAGCACAGATTTTCAGAGCACCCGGACGGGACCCCTGGATTCCCCCCTCCCTCTTCATCTCTCTCCCGAAGACCTGCGTGTGCCACCCTAAACAAAGTTGAAGTGAGACAGGAGCTCTCCATAACATGTCTTCCTCTATTGCTAGTGCACTGGTGCTCAGAGGAGATAAAGTTAGAAAAAAAAACATACTGCTAGTGTTTTTGTTATGCTGCATGAAACCCTTCACAAACACTTTCTTCTGTTTGATCCTACAATCTGCTTGTTGTCACATTATTGTACAGGACATGATCTGGAGAGGAATGCAGCTAAAACAGAAGCAAAGGTGAGATCTTTGCATTCTCTATAGTCATTGTCATACAGCAGATTTTTTGTATCATAACAAATTTTGCAGAGGAGTTGATGTCTTTTGACTAAGGCACAAGTCTTGTTCTAAACTGACATCTTGCTCATCTTTTTGTCATTGATTTCCATTGTTCTTGCATTATAAGCTAAATGTTAAAAGAAAGTATTTGCTCCCTCAGAGTGATGCAGTGAATGAATGCGATGACGCTGAACCCTCAGAGAAGAGCAACAACAGCGCTATAACCAACAGGAAAGGTAATTATTTGAAGAATTTTTTTGGAAAACAATACTTTAAAAAAAGCCAAGAATAGAAGGAATAGTGACAATAGTATGTTGATTTGGTCCTCTGGTTACTTATTATCCTGCAGGAACCTCAAATGAGGACTTCACGAGGAACAAAGAAAAGGTAGGGAAGGCCATATTTATTTCATAACATTGAAGGATATTCACTCTGTTCAGTCAC